AAATGAAGCGATTGGATCACGTTACCGTGAAGAAGTCCTTGATGAACGATCGGCATTTTTGTTAGCATTAAACAATTTCGTGGAACAATCCTTGACTATGAATCCCAGATTTCCTCTCATGGCGCACAAATCTGAGCCATCGAAGCGCACGAAACAAAGTTTCCAAACCACGCTTCATACAATTAATTTATACGCTTTGAGTCGTTCTAGACTATCTCGAGTTAACGATCTTAACCTCGAAGTTAACAATCACGATGATCATCGAAATTACTTGTGTCCATCTATGCATTGGCTTGGCAAGAAAGTAATTTCGGTTTGCACCAATAGATAGCGTTACGGCAACCGTCTTCGTCGTTTATGCTTTCGGACATCTTTCTCTGTATTTTCGTCCCGATTCTCTCGCGCGATTACTCTTCACGAGTTCTCGCGCTGTCGCCCTTTATCACCGTTTAATACCTTCTTTCTGTTTATCTTTTGGGTCCGGAGATCTTATCGGGTTGGCAAGAAAGTAATTTCGGTTTGCACCAATAGATAGCATTATGCTTACATTGTCGTTCTTTCGTTAAGGTTATAATTTTCTTGTTTCCAGCTCTGGTAGTTGACACTTTTAGGTTAATATAGAAACAAATTCCGCGCAGTTTTGTTTACAATAATGGGAAGCGATGTGCCATCGGATTATCCTTTATTTCGAACTTCATTCTTTAAACGGTAAAAATTTCAATAATAACGACAGCCTCGAATCGCACTTGATCGAGTATTTACCGATAAGCACCAGAAGTTTTACGAACGCGGAACACCATGAAGGTACCATAAAGATACATTTTTCTACAGAAAAAATTGAGCTTTATTTAACATTAAAATAATTTCTTTCACGATAACCCAATTACATAGATCGCGAACGAGAGGAACGAAACGCGGGCGGCGTTTCTCCTGCGACGATCAATCTTATTTTCGTCGAAAGCCGGGCGGAAGGAGTCCGCGCACAGCCTTGTTTCGAAGAAATCTGGACACGAAACGGGGACACCGGGATATCCGGCGAGCGCGCGATAAAATTGGAAACACGGAGGCGCGGTTTTCGCGGAAAAATTCCGGCGTTCCCTTCGATTACCGAACACACGCGACCACCCCTCGGGGCTTGCCGGAAACTTTGTTCCTTGAAGCGGAAAACGAAACAGAAAACAAAACAACGCCGAACAAAACAGGAAAGCCACACGACCGTGGCGAAACAAATGAACACAGCCAGCGGCCCAGCGTGCCGATACACCGAGCTCGATCGAATTCCATTACTGCGCCTCCGCCGCGACCGTTTATTAAAGCTAATAAAGTGACCAACTCGCGCTCATAGAGCTGTGTGCAACGTACATACAACCCCCGATAGTCGAGCTAGCAGGAGAAGCAGAGCCGCCCCGTCGAGCGCCCCGTTCTCGAAAAACGAACGAAATTGTAATACGCAGCTATGGCGGCGATGCATTCTTCCGGGTCGCGGGGGGAAGGATTAATCCCGTTACGCTCTGTGAAATTTCTAGGAACGTTAAGCCATCCGTTAATGAGAGTTCGTGCCTTGTAGTTCCTCTGGGCGAGAGAGCCATACGTCCTTACGATCTCTAATAACCAGAGCCCAGAAATTAATCCCCAGGGAAAATAAACGCATGCAACGGTCTCGCAGGGTTCCGCTATCACGCAACTTTTATTATTATTACGCCGGTGTCGGTCGTCTGCTGTTCTAACGTTCTTACACGGAGAATTCCCCTTTATCCGAACTGGCTCCTGGAAACGGATGATACGGATTCGACAAATTTCAGTGTTTTAGAGTTACCCCAGTCTTGATGGTTTTAGAGAAGCTAGAACGAGATCGCTTGTTGAAACGTTTTCTCTGTGGGAATTAGGCTCTGTTTTTGCTCTAACGATGACTTATTATTATTTATTTAGAATTAACTCTTTGCACTCGAAGCTGTTTTAACTGTAAACATAAAATTATTTTTCTAACTTATAGTATTTCTATTTTATATGATAAAATTCATTTTATGCGTATGAAATTGACTCTTGGGACTCGCACGACAGTTACACTCTTAATAATTTAAAAAAATCTAAACTTTGTTAATATCAAAATTATCTTGGAACGTGATACAACAATTTTAGCTATGCTTCAGAGTCATCACTCGAGTACAAAGGGTTAACACGTCAATTAGCTCGCTATTAACCCTTTGCACTCGAAGCTGTTTTAACTGTAAACATAAAATCATTTTTCTAACGTATAATATTTTTATTTTATATGACGAAATGCATTTTATGCGTATGAAATTGACTCTTGGGACTCGTACGACAGTTACACTCTTAATAATTTTTCAAATCTAAACTTTGTTAATATCAAAATTATCTTGGAACGTGATATAACAAATTTTAGTAGTGCCTCGGAGTAACCACTCAAGTGCAAAGGGTTAACATTTAATTTTTGCGTACGAAGTCGCCGATTTAAAAAATGTATACCGTTCATGTATCGTGCAGATTTACAGACAGTCGAATCTGGAACTGTGAAATCGAGTATATTGTCATAACTAGACTGCGGATTTGATGTATTTGCAACGAAAATTCTTAGATGAGACAGAAAATTGTGACTGTATTGGAAAAATTGTATTGTCGACAAAATCTTGAAAGACATTTTTGTTAAAAAAATTTTATTATATAATTTTATTATATAAATTTTTTGTCCAAAAATGGAAAGATTTGCGGGAGAAGGAGTAGAAAAATTACTAAACCAGAAACTAAAATGACTAAAAATTAATAAACTGAAATTATACTGTCTTGTCAATAGAGGATAAAGGTGCTTAATCCTCTGAATAAGTTAATGGTCGATCCTGAACTATGTAGAACACGGTAATACAGTTCCAGCTTGCATAATAGTGTCCAATGAACTTCGTCGAACAAGGTGGTATAGTTTGGTATTAGATTAGTGGCACAGAAGCATGTTTAGACAATGGCTGAAAAGCTCTATGAACTTTTGCTAACGACCTTTCGATCCGCAAGTACACGTAGATAGAATCACTGGCAAAAATTGTTTCTTCTCGAAGTGAATTTTCTTGAAACTTACACCAGAGGATCATGAATAGACTGCGAATCTCTCTTTATGTAAATTGGTAGTTTAGTACTCAACTTGTTGCCGTACTTTAACGAGTCGAACTCGTGGTGGAGATTTCTAGTAATAAGCTGTTAGGCGCGAATGTTGTTCGGTTCCTTTCAGTCGGAATTAAATTCTAAACTCTTTTCACGAATATTTAAACATTCAAGTAATAATTTATAAATTATTACTTGTTTAATAAATTCAATGTTTCTTTTTCTTTTGAGAAATCATTGCAATGGAAAAAGTGCAAATCACTGTAATTAACGAG